CAAAAGACATATGTTTAATTCAGCAAAACATTTATTAAGGTCAGGATGCATGAACAAACTCTTCTTAACAGAAAGATAACTCAACAGCAACCAATCAGAATTTACAGCACCGCCACATTTCAGCAACACGCAACTGAAGACAGACAAATTCTAGTGATTTGTTTTTAAAAATCCATTGAATTATCTCTTACCTCTTCAATAACGTATCATAAATGCAGTTAAAGAAGTTAGCAGGAAAAAGTGTGATCTTCCTTCCCCACTCTCTGCCCATCCATCTTCCAGGAAACCACAGGGGGTTGCTGAGCAGACTTGAAATGAGGCTTCGAGGCTGCTGCTTTTCCCCCTACATCATAACCGATTTCAAATGGTGCTAGACAAAAACAGACTCTGAACACCAGGAGAAATCGGTCAGCCTGTGTAAGAGATGGGTCCAGTGGTGCTCCTGGCGGTCCTGCACCTTGACAGTGCAGGTGGCAAGTTTGATTTCAGCAGGGCTGCAACGGCAGCTGAATGTTCCAGGGCATCCAGGAGCAGGCAGACAGTTGTGATGTGGATGAAACAGTCCTGCAGGTAGACAGCCCTCTCCACTTCCCTAATACAATCAAGTATTCAATCGAGCCTTTCCCCATCACCATGCTCAAAGGCCCTGCCGCTTATCAACAAAAAGAGTATTGCAACCTCTGCCCCTGCTCCAACCACTGAGTTGGAGACACACTGAGTGTCTTAAATACAAACTCCTCCCTGCACCGTCACCCCTCCACAACCGGACACACTGAAGGGTGTATTTTGTTTTTCAACTTCCTCCTTTCTTGAACCGGCTCAGGTGGCAGGAGGAGGGGAGCCAGTCCCACAGCAGCAGCTCTTCTGCAGTCGGTCCTTTGCTGTGCTGCAATTCTTACTCCTAAAACACTGATTTCAAATGGTGCTAGATACAAAGATGGAAAAATCTAAGCCACCATGTGAAACCAGCTTCCAGAAGAAGAGGATCTCACTGAAGAAAGGAGGGAGATGCGACCGGAAGACCCAGCCTCTGCCGTGAGGAGAAATGTCTTCTCGGAGTTCTACTTGTGACATGACACATAATGTAATAATCCGTTAGAAACGCAACAGAGAGTTACAAAGTGATGCTCAAGGAACATGCAAGTCACAGCTGATGCTTCACACAGAGAAAAGCAATACAAAACTCATGAATCCTAGTTAATTCTGTTTAATTCCACGAGTCCCTACAAATTATTATACATATGAAATAAAATGACCAAAGCTAAATTAAAATGAGTTAATATTTACATTAGTATTGCCCTGCTTTGTAAAATAGTTCACAGTATGCAAAGTGTTTTCCGATATTACTCACTTCATCAGGAAAGCAGCACCCTCTCTGTCTGTGAGGCTCCAGCCTGTCCACAAAGGTGAGTTTCAGCTGGCCAGGGCAACGCGTCCACGTGCCCTATTCAGGAAGAGCATGGACTCCTTCCCAGCCACAGGGAAGTGTCAGAACACTGGCAATCTTATTTCACCTCTGGTGTGACACAAAAAACTGGTGTCCTAAGACTGTATTAAGTAGATAATCCTCTAACACAAGAATTGAGTGTTTTTTGTTGTTTTCAAAATTTCCTGAAAATAAGATTTGCAAACTGTGTTCAAATTTGATTTCCCTTCTCCCAACTCCATCATCTTTTTTGGTGGTTTGAAGCTAAGAAAACATGGCTATTTTTCCTCTGATACCATAACCAAAAGAAAGAAGAGACACACAGTAGAGTCTGTATCTTTCAGGTTCCCTACCAATTCTTTAGGCCTCCAGATATAGGCTTATATTTTTTATGGCTCCTGGAAATAAAGGCACGTGCTGCTTCAGGGAAGAGAAGGAAAAACACCAAGTTCTAATTCTCACAGTGGTCCTGTGAGGCAGGTATTATTCCCATTTTTGCAGAAGAAACTGATCCTTTACATGGTTCAAAATCTTGTCCAGGGTCACACGACTAATGACTGGTGTAGATCCCAGGTCTAACTCTGAAGTCTGTGTTCCTGCTCCTCTGCCCACTGCCGCCTGCTCCATAGCTGGACTCGCACCTCATTCTGTTCTTGAACTTCACTATGAGAAAGACTGCCAGGGGCGGGGGGATCCTAGGCAATATTTTACACAGAAGTGGGATGTTCCTGACTGCACACACGTTAAACTTGGGTGGAGACGGGAGCACGACTGGTACTGCAAGGGGCTGCGTGTTCTGGGGTAACTTGTTTTGCTGTCCTGCACCTCTGGTGGCTTGTGGTCTCCCATAGCATGACTGCAGGAGTGGAGAAGACACTGGAAATGAACCGCCCCGCAGTGCCTGTGCTGGACTCCTGAGCGATTCTGACACAGCACTAGGCTCGGCAGTCTGTGGGGCTTTGCAAGGCCTCGGCCACAGGTGGGAGAGCGGGGGCTCTGCTCTGCCCACAGGGGCTCTGAGGGAGGACACCAGCAGCCAACAGCTGGGCCCTGTTAACCAGGTAACTGCTAGGGTTTTAAGGTCAGGAGTGAGTGTTAAATGACAGTCATTACTCCTATAAAACGAGGGAATTGAAGGAGATCTACATTTGGTAATTCTCAGCTTCTCTGCTTTTTACTTCAGTCAAACTCTTCATCCTTAGCAACTTCCAACTGCCAGTCTCCACAAAACCCTTTCCTAAGGTGTTGTCACACGGATGTCCTTCAGTGATCCAGACAGCATCCTTCTTCCCACCAGAAGGCCTCTGTACATGCTGCTCTCTCTTTCTGGAACACTCTCCATCCACTCTCCCATAACTGTCACCCCTCCACCCCCCAACCCACCCTAGGTAACCCAGGTTGTCTGAAGTCCTCCCTAAGATCTCAGCTCAGCCCTCCCTTCCTCAGGAAAGCTTCCCCCAAGCTAGCCCAGCTTTCAGTTGGCTGCCCTCTCACACCACCAAGTTCTTTTCCTTCAGAACACACTTATGACATTTGGTCATCCGGTGATTAGTTAATGTCTTTCCTGTGACCCAGGAAGCCTCAGCCCAGAGCTCAAGGGGGTTGCACAGAGCAGAGGAACAACTGTCACTAAGGGAACTAAGGGACACGAACCATCATGTGGGCTCCCAACTCTTGAGTTGTAAAATAATCTTAGCTCTCTGGAAAAAGAGATGAGAAATCATTAACAATGCATCACTGTCAACACTCTGAAAGAAGAAGAGGGGGAAGAAAGCAATCTTAATGCCAAAAACTCTGCCCTTCCGATCCCATTGGATAAAAGGGTCTGTTCAGGTCTTAGCCCTCCCAACAGAACCAGGCGTCTCTCTCTCGAAGTCTGCTGGGCAATGACTCACTTACCTGAAACAAGCTGGCATTTTTGTTCCCTAGTTGGATGTAGCTGGGTGGTTTGATGGGGGCTGGAAGGGAGCTGCTCTCCCCGGCACCCAGTCCGAGGCACCTAGATCTGGAAGAAGCCCCAGCCTGCTGAGGGCTCACGGTCATCCTCCCACCTTGACCTAATGGCCCCATGCAAACTGGCCAGTGGAAAAGGGCTTGGTGGGCTGCCTGGGAAGGAAAACCACCCACTAGAGAGGTGGGCATGTCAGCCCTGGGAGGTGCCATGACGCAAGAAGAGAGCTTGGGGAGCCACGCTGCAGCCCCAGTCCATTTCTGTCCCCACATCTGATCTGGACGTTTTTCCACCCCCTCATGCCTAGGACACTCCTCTGCCTGAGCAGGGACCTGAGGGTGGAGGAAAGGTCACCACACAGTGAATTAGAACACAGTGGCTTTAATTCCTGCTCATCCCAGACTCTGAGCACAGGGGCCTGCACTTCCCTGGAATGGGCCTCGGAGGGTTCATCTGAAAAGAGAGGGGGCTGGCAGACTGGTCACTGCACGCTCAAATATTGGGCAGGAAACTTAAGACAGAGAAGCAGCGACAGCGTGCAGCAGAAGTATAGTGACCCGGAGAGGCTGGGTTTTGTCTAAAGGCATGCAAAATCAGATACATTAAAAAAAACAAAAACAACCCTGTGCAGGACAAACAAAAACATCTGAGGGTTAAATACAATTCATGGGCCATCAGTTAAAGGACAGGCTGGAGATTGCAAAGAGAGCTTCTATTTCATTTTATAAATGATGCTGTCTATGTCTTTTTAAAGTCCTAGGAATGCTATGCCCAGCATGGTGCCTCAAAAATAACATGGGAGGAAAACGGGAAGGAGAGGAATCCTTGTTTAAGAAATCCATAAGCAAACCCAGAGAACAAACAGATATTCACCCCAGGAACCTAATGCTGCTGGCTTGTTTGGTGCTACCAGTGTGTTCAAATCCAGAAGGCTGGGAAGGTTCCTGTGAGGCAGCAGCTTCTCCCTCCCTCCCGACTCGCCTGGGTGCTGAGTCACAGCTACTTACTTGACTGACGCAAGTTCCAGCCAGAGCGGGGGAGGGGTGCCGGAGGCAGAGCCCAGATCATCCATCTTCCTGCCACTTGGAATGCTGATTTCAGGGCTCCTGGCAGTGAGGAAGAGTCATCTTGGTGAGAGAGGAGCCTGGGGAAGGCCCTTTTGAAAAAGGGGAACGTTCTGCCCTCCAGACAGTCCCACACCATTGTGTGTATGAACTGAGAGGCCCAACCCAGCTTCCTGTCACTCTGGCTCTGGCCCAGGCCCAGTGTCCTGGACATTTTGTCTTGAGCTGTCAGGGTGGGGCCTGTTGCCAACTAGCTGTGGTTACTGAATCAGAAGAAAGGGTGATAAAATGAAGGGTATGTGTATGCGGGGCTGGGGTGGAGGGGAACATGGAGCTGGAGCTCTCTTTCTGGCAGTTTGGCCCCCAAAAGGAGAGCTCAGCATCCAGGGATCACCTCACTTTCCAGGCCCTGGAGCCCAAAGTGGGAATAACACACTCCAAACCCACCGAGCCCCTCAAATGCCCGCTGACGTAACAAGGTCACAAGTCACAGGCTTCTCAGCTGACGTGGGCCCAGCATCAGCTCTTCTGGTTTCCCTTGAGGCAGGGGTAAGCAGCTGCTTTCCACAAAGTTAGGTTCTCTGTCCCTTCCTCAACACCACTGGTGAAAACCTGGGTCTGGAAACCTCCCAGACACAGTACAGGGCACAGAAGCCCTCGGTGGGGCGGGCTGGCTGGCTGAGAGGATGCACCAAGGCTACTCTGCCCTGGGATGTCATGGGGCGTCAGGGGCAGCAAGAGACAGTGGGGAGCAAGGGGAAGGAGGACGGATGGAGTGAAGATGGGAGCACGGATGTCTGCATGTTCCCCTAGAGAATGGCTTAGCCCTGGTGGAGGAGGATGGGCACAACCGTGAATTGCTTTCAAGGAAGCTAGTGCTTTCCACAAGAGGAAAAGCGAGCATGCCTACGGTCTATTACACAAATACAATGCCCACCACACAGTTCACAGGTCCAAACCAAAGCGGATCCAAAGGAAAACCACCAACATTGCTCCCTTGTCACTCCCAAATCATTTACTTGACTCAGTAATGATGGACTCAGAAGTGAAACTTCAGTCTCAGGTGAAATCTAACTCTGCAGATTGCGAGAGAGATGCCCCAGAGCCCAGCTCCCCACCTCCCCAGGTAGAGCTGGGTGGCCCTCTCCTTCAGCCACCAAGTAACTAGCAGATGCAGTATCCCACCAGGCACCTCACTCACAGGACCATGTGCCTGCTTGCTGGGAGAAGCATGTTCCTGTCCCCATGAGCCCCTCCAGAGGCATGCCCCAGCCTCAGCAGCACAACCCCTACTCCTCCTGGAGGGAGAACAGAGCATCTCCTCAAGTCAGACATCCTCCCCAGAGCATGACCCCCAGCGGGCACCAGGAAGCCTGGGGTGTACCCACGAACCTCCAAGTGGCGGTTCTACCCAGTACCTGGGCACACACCTGGCGGAGCACATGAACTGGGGCACACCCCGTGACACGGTTCCACTTCCCTAGTTGGGGGAGGGAGGCTGGGCAGACAGAGGGTAGGTCCAGAGTCCAAAGCCAACTTGGAGCACCTTTCTCTCCTGCTTCCCCTGCAGCTGGCCCGGCTGGTAGCTGTACCTACAGTGCTATGCCAGCCTCATTCTGTTATCAGGACCTATGTCTGCCAGTCTCAGGACCGGGAACAGTGAGTGGTAGGAGGAGGCAGGAGGAGGAGGGAGGAGAGAGGAGGGAGAGAGGGGGAGGGAGGGAGGGGAGGAAGTTTCACAGTCTAGTGCATTCTCATCAGATCAGAGAGAGGGGAACACGTACAACTTCCCTTTTTCAAGCGCGTCTCTGCCCTGCTTTCATTTTGGTTCCTTCCCTTCTGGACGGGGGATGGTGTGGATGGCGTGGATGGCAGGCTGGGCAGGGGCAGGCGCCCAGGTACCCAGCCAACTGGGCTTTCGCCCGGCTCCATCTCGGCCTGGCAGGCTCTCTCGGCCACTACCCGGCATGCCCTTCTCCTCGTCAGGGAGGCCTCGCCCTCTTGTTTTCAAAGTTTTATAACAGTATTGTTTGTTGTCCAGCAGATTAAATTCTTTTGGAGGCTGGGGGGGGGGGTGGTGAGGGAGAGAGAGGAGGGAAAAGAGAGAGAGAAAACACAAATAACTTCCATTAGGGCCAAAAGACTAAATGAGTTCCTTTTTGAACACAGAGTTCACCTGTCTTGGAGAGAGGCTAGTGGCCAGGAGCCCGTGTTCTCTTCCTCTCTGCCCCTGACCCTCTCTGCCCCGCTCCTCACCTAGCAGGGTGGCATGTGGTCTCAGACTTTCAAAGCCACTACTCAGAGTTCAAGCCGAAAACAAGAAACAGCTAACAATGTCTGCAGGGACGGTTTGTGCCTGAGCAACCCCCATCGCAAACAGGAGGCACGCTGAGGGGCTGAGCTGGTCCTGGCAAGGACACCCTTGCCCCTCATCTCCCGGGGTCTGGATGACCGGCTCCAGGCCTAGGTGGGGAGGGGGGCTCTACGAGCAGCTGCCCCATCTCAGAGATGGTTCATCTCTGCAGTGAGCTTGTGGTTCATTCACATTTGAAATAAAAGTCATATATTCGATGTCAGAGAGAGAGACGTGGGAAGAACTATACCCCAAAGAAATAATAACACAAATGCATGGACAGACATTCCTGTACACGTAAGAAATGAGTGAGAGTGGGAAACGGGAAAGAAAGGAGACAAAAAGTCAATATAAAATGAGCATGATCTTACAGACAGGAGGGCCCGCTGACAGGTTCCTGACCTGTCGGGCCTTTCGATGCTCAATTTGCAGGTAGTAATAACTGCCTGGCTATAAGATTGTCCGTATTTACCACAACCCTCATTTGGACATTAACTGGTTTATTTCAGACTCTAGGTTACTTCTAAATAGTAGGCCCATTTGAACATACACCTGTGCCTTCAGCATAGCAGGCAGTGCTGGTGGTCCCAGAGCTGTGGACCTGCCCTGAGACACTCCTCTTCCATCTCCTACCTTCTTCCCAGCAAATCATGTCTGGCCCTGCCTTCTGCACTGCCTCCCTCGCACACACTCTCATTCACATCTCCAGCGCCCGTCACGGGCCCCTAGGGCTGGGGGAACCGGCAGGGTAGGTGGCGGCAGCGGCACAAACATCGCGTAAGAGCAGCTCAGTGCTCCTTCCTGGAAAAGATGAAGGACGACGTGCCTTTCTTCTCTGTTTATGCGCAAATAATACCAGTCCTATAGGGTCAGTTCCAGAAGTTCTCTCTGCACGGGGAACAGGGTGAGAGCTCCAGGCCCGATGCTCACGTGCCACCCCCACCCCCACCCAGCTTAGGCTCGCCTCAAAGGCAGCAAGGCAAGATGGAGAGTGCAGCCATGGGGCCGCTCTAGATCCTGGCACCCAAACCTCATGCTGTTCTAGGGACGATATCAAAGTTCCAGGGGCTTGGGACTGGAAGGATCCTGTCAAAGACATCCAGTCTCTCCCTCTCAGATAAAGAGGCTTCATCTTTCCTCAGGAGCCCTCAGTAAAGGGGATGCCACGGTTCTCCCTGAAGTCTAGCATAATCACTCTCCCTCTGCAGGTTCAGCCGTCCTCCTTCCCGTGCTCCAGGCAAATAGAAACAACTGGGTCCGATAAGACAAATCTTCACAAGTAGTTATCGAAGGCTTCATCCACCAAAACAACTCCCCTGTGGATTCCCCCATCACAGGGTTTCTCTGCAAGCCGAGGCTGCATTCAGGGGATACAAACAGACAAGACATTCACAGACATCTGCATGCTGCCCCCATCCAATCCCAACCCTTCCTCAAGGCACACCCCCAGATAAAGCCTAAACCATCTGAGCTAAATGTGCTATAAACAAACACTTCTCTCCTTCATACAAGTTCTGGGTCTATTCGAATGATGATCAGTCAGAGGGCCACATGCCAAGAAGGCATGCAGTCCGTGCCCTGCCTCAGCACTCCTTATAGAGAGTGGGGACTATGCTCAGCGTTCAGGGAACACCGACACCCAAGAATTCTCTGACCCACCTTCCTCTCCATGGGTTAAGGCCTACTTTTTCAAGTCAATCAAACAGCAAACATTCAGAGCTGAAGCCAGCTGAAGCCAGCATTGCTAGTATCTTACTTTATATTGTACATTAGCCAATTATTCCAGCAGGTGCTGTACACTAATTAGCCAACAAACAGGTAACATACACACAACACACATGCTAGGCAAAGCTCTGGGCATACCTTATACATCTGCTGGAAAAATCTCAAAGATCCCACAATGAGGCCTCATTCTAAGAGAGCTACTTAGCAGAAACATGACTATATGCACATGCATGAAGTGTGATACAAATGTGTCAGAATGGTTTGAAGAGCCACATATTCCAGAAGCTTCCAAATGTAGGAAACCTCATCGGAAACACATGATGAATGGCTGGCTTCCTAGCCAAGAAGAGCAAGACACTTTTCACAAGAGCGCCAAGAAGTTGCAAGACATCAGCGACTATGAGAATCTGGATATTCTGAGGTTTCCTTCCCCCTTCAACGTATATAGAGCGGACCTACGGCCACCAGCGATCAAGTCAACTACCCAAGACCCACTCCACTCTTGCCCCCGCTGCACCTGTCAGCTGAAGAACACAACTAGAACCCAAGGAAATGACAACTAGAGTCAGGGTCCTGGGTGGGTGACCCAAATTAAGCAGGTAGAAGCAGTCATATCTTGCCAGGACTCTCTCTGGCTCAGCTTCATCAACTAGGGGGATAATACCACCTACCCTCAGGGGGTTGTGTGAGGACGAAATGATCTAGCAAATGTGAAAGGAACTGTGCAGTGTCACATGGGGCGTGTGAGACGATGGTTACTAATCAATTCCTCTCCTGCCCGAGTCCTGGCCCAAATCCCTGTTCGCTACACCTTCCTGGGGGTGAGAGGGGGGTGGGCTCACAGTTATGAATCCCAGGTGAGTGGCCAGCAAAGCGGCAAGCAGACAGTGTCTTGGAGAAATGTAGCTATTTTTAAAACTCGGCATTCTGTTCAGCGGATTGCACAATGTGTACCCTCAGCCCCAGGGGCTCCTACCCACGCAGCCTTGGAGAAGTAGTGGACGTTGGGGACTGAGGCTGCCATGGAGAAGCTCAGTCAGGGCCCCAGCCGCCCCTGGCCCCGGCCTGGCCTTGCACAACAGCCTAGGAGGGCCTGGGACCCTGGACTTTCCTGCATGTGTTTTATTTTTGCTCTCTTTTAAAGAGTGACTCAAGACTAAAAAGCCAAAATGGAACTGGTGGCTCTGAGATATTTTTGTTTTTGTTTTTTTTTTCCTTTCTCATTTTCTTCTTTTTTCTTTTTTTTTAAGTAGAAGGGCTTCAACAACCACATGAGAAAAGAAGGCTAAATATAAAGGAAAACTTCCTGAAGGCAAAGGGGCAAGGACCCTGAACAGATGTCTCAGGGAAGGCACAAGACACACAGGACCTGCAGTTCCATTTTCTCTCCAGGATTTAGGGCCAGAAAGGATGGAGCATCTCTCCTGGAGCACGACATCTCAAGTCACCCTCTGCAGCACAGCAAGCCCCCCCAGGAACTCCTACACAGCCCATCTCCAGACAAGCCTCTTGGTGGGAAACAGAGTCCACATCCTCTGTCATGTGGACACTCCTCATCAGCCACCTTCACGCAATCACCAGCCCCTTCCTACTTACTTCTGGGTGGGGGAGGTCCTTCAAAAACTGTTTCCACCCACCTGCCCTAATTGATGGCAACAGCATCTCTTCAGAAAACAGGATTGTGGCTGCTCTCAGACAGGTCCTTCAAGATCCCCCCCACCCCTTCTCTTGTCACGCAGGTCTAGTCTTCCTCGTCCTGAGTTCCTGGCTAAGAAATACCTCAAGGACCTCAGCCACCTGGGGAACATCCACGGGGCCTCCACATCAGAGTTGGCAAAGAACCTCCAAAAAGATTCTGGTTCAACTCTCTCATTTTATAAATAACGAAACTGAGTCCCAAAGAGGTAAAGAGAGCACGTGAGTTTTTACCAACGTAGCCAGGGCCAGAGTCCAGGCCTGCTGACTGTCCTATGCCAAGCAACATAAGCCCCACTTTCCCTGATCCCCCCACAACCACACCACCAAGACCCACACCTCATCCTTGTGCAACATCAGCCCCCTGGCAGCAGGGGGCAGTTTCCGTGGTCCAGGTGGGCCAGGTGTACGACTATGGGGCCAAGGAGGGAAGAATCACGTGGCCTGACTCACCATGGGCCTGGTGGCTGCTTCTACCACATAAACAAGTCCTGAGCCCTGGAGCCACACACCAGGAACACCCCCTCCCCCACCTCCAGCCACCAACCTGCCTCAAGCTCTCAAGACGCAAAGCTCCTCCAAGCATCTGACACAAGGTGATTTCTCCTTCCTTACCCTCTGCCCGTCCCTTCCCTATCGCGATAATCTTGGAACCATGTGTTCTGGCAGGAGAGGCTGAGCTCAGAGTTCTGCCTCCTACAGGCACATATTTTACCAGTGACTCAGCAAAGACTTAATCCGAGTGTTCCCCTGTGCTGCATGGGCAAGAGAGGGGCACGGTGACCAGGGTGAGGTAGAGACGCCAGCTGGCACCTGGTGAGGGTAGGAGACGGAAGGCCAGGAGCCATGGCTAATGGAAAAAACCCTAGTCTGCTGGTGACCAAAGACCTGACGTCTACTGCCCCCTTGATCGCTGACTCACTGCAAGTTCCTGTAAGCTATGGGGGACCTTGGAAGATTGTTCTAGCTGTTAGGAAAAGAGAGGGGTTAGCACCCATATCAATCCTAACTCTTTGGAGGCTTGATCAATGCAGCTTCCCCAGGTGGTTAAGGTCCTTGAGTCTCTCAAACTTCCTCCTTGACCAACATCTGGATCCTCTCTTCTTATGTATGGGTCTCCTCCTTTTCCATATATGTCTACTTGATATATTTTTTAATTCTATTTTTTTATTATTAATAAATAATCTCCCCACACTAGAATGAACCCCAGGAGAGCAGAAACTTGTTTTTGTTGAGTTCTGCATCCCCAGCACCCAGTCCAGTCCCTGGCATATAGCAGAGGCTGAATACATATTTGTAGGAGGAATGCATTGGCCATGCTCAGCCCTGCCTGTCCATGGATAACCAAAGTGTATCTGCCTGCCTCTGCCCTGCCTCCCCAAAAAGGGATGTGGTGTAGCCAACCCCGTGACTACAAAGTTCTCCTGGGTATATGGCCTTTCACTCTGGTTCACATCAGTTCTCCTGGCTACCTATCCTGTGAGGGTCTTAGCTCTCAAAAATGTCTGACTTTAGCCCAAGAGGATGAAGAAAAAGTACAGGCTTTGGAATCAGAAGTGCCTGGGTTTAAATCTCAAGAATGCCACTTCCCAAGTGTGTGACCTTGGTTAAGTCACTAATAATCACAGTTTCTTTAACTATGGTAAAAGGGAAGTAATACCTACTTCACATGGTTGTGCTGAGGATGAAATGAGATAAGCAAAGGAGGACCCTTAACAAAAGTCATTTTCCATTTCCCTGACGGCATGCTCAGACCAAGAACTCTGATGCCCATCTCATACCCTCACGCCTCACTACAGACCCTGATCTGGGCTCCACGTACACACACATCCATTCTAGGCCGCAGCAGGCAGCCGTGGTTGAATACTGGACACATCCTCCCACCCCCTCCTGGCCTTGAGCCCGTGGTCAGATGATGCACAACCATCTCCCCACGTGGCTCTCTCCATCCTTGTCCTCCCATTCCTCCCCTGCCCAGGCTCGACACTATTGCATCAGGCTCTGCATGGGCCTTGGGATCTGCAGGTGTCCTCTGGTTTTATCAGCCCTTGAACAGCTCCTGTAGAAGGAGCCAGCAAGAAACCAAATCTAGTCCATGCTTTCTCCAGTCACTCCAAGTCCCAGCAAAGCAAAGCAAAATGAAGGCCTCCCACAGACAGCTGGCTAGTGGAAAAGGACAGTATCTCTTACATATCTCAAAAGGAGGCAACATGCCCAAAAAAGTGACCAGCACGAGGTACAGATCCTCTCTAAAGCTGCGGCTGCAGCCTTGGGGGCACTTGTGTCAGGGGACAGAGCCAAGATATGCATTAAACAATTCACAGCCCCGACGAGACCAGGATTCAATGGAACAGAGAAGGTGCTGACCAATCAGGTCCACCGGCAGGGCCCCTCCCCATCGCCTCCTGGCCAAGCCACACCACCACAGTTCCAGCACCACCAGCTCTGTTCACCTCTGCAGGACCCCAGACAGAAAGCCCCCATGCTGCCCCAGACCACAGGGGTTCAAAGGTCAAGAGGGAAGTGCCAGATATGCCTGGTCGCCCTCTCAGGGGACGCCAACTGTTCTGCTAGGCTGACTTCTGACAACACAATGCCCCACGTCACGTCAATCAAAGCCAGGCTGGTAAGCAGAGAGGAAAGAACTAGAAGAGAGACAATAATAGGAAAATCAGCAGGGAAGCACCAACCCCGATTCTGGAAACACCACAGGCCTCAGGGGACAACTGGGTCCCAGGGGGCAAAACCAACCTCCCCTTTGCTGCCCACTCTGATTGTCCCAATCTAGCCAAGGGTAGGGCGACCACCCAGAGCCAGGCCCAGGGACCACCCGAGCACGGCCGGCAGCTCCATCCGGCCCCAGCCCCACAGCCAGTGCTGGGCAGACTCTAGCCGACACACCTTGAGGGACTTGGCTCGCTCCTCATCATCTCCCCAGCTGCACCAAAGCTGATCTCTCCACTTGATTCATGTTCTGGGCCCAACACCCCCAGCCATCCCTCACTACATTACTGCTGGAGGGGCTGAGACTTGTCAAATTCCTTGAAGGAAGAGACACCGGACTCTTCCAAACAGCCCTGGACTCCTCACTCAGGGAGGATCTCAGGCTGCTCACAGCCAACTCAGGGACTCGTCTCCGATGGGAAGAAGAGAAGACGAAACAACGCGAGGCAGAATTTGCCAGTCTTCCCTGGATCCTTGGGGTGGGGACGAGGACACACCACCCACGTGCATGAGACACGAGCAGAGAGGCAAGATCCCACAGATGACCCCTGATATGAGCCAAAAGCATCATAAAATTACCCAGTACCATTCCTTTTATCTTTAGACCCCAGATGAATCTGCTGTCAGCTAATTTCAACCAGCCCTCCTGGCCCAGAACATCACAGGAATCTACCTGATAGGAGAGATTTCCTAGTGACGCGGCAAGTGCCTACAGTCTGCTTTCTGAACTGACTCTATAATGCAACAGACCTCCCTAATTCTGCAGGCTGTCATCATTTTTAATCATCGTCGCTATTACTGTGACCAGCACCAAGTGAGGCAGAGAAAAAAAACACTTCTACGTCAACTGCCTAGAGATGCTTTGCAATGGCTTACTGGGCCAGGAATTTTTTTCTAAGACAAAGGCAATGAGGGCCTAGAAGAAAGTGATTCACTCAAAAAAACCCCAAAAGTAGGGAAAGAGCCCCAAAGTCCACTGCCAAGCCCATGGCCTAATCTCTAGACCAGAGCCCTAGACTAAGGCCCAGCAAGGCTAAAAGTGCCTCAAGTCAGAGAGAACATCCACCATCCACCAGGACGACACGGGGAGGAGAAAGCCCAAGTCCCAGGCAGGCTCCAGGCACCTCTGAGGGGTTATACGCAGAATCTCATGTTAGATGTTGGGGGCCAAGGAGAGTTCCCGGTCAGTCACTATGGGAGGCCCAACTGCTCTGCCAAGTGCCACACCCAGCAACGCTTCCCAGCTATTTCCCACACATCCTAGCAGCCTGATCACTTCAGCTGGCTGCCCTTCCCCCAAGCCTTTGCTAGCTACTAACCCCATTCACAGAAAAGCCAGGAGTAGGAGAATGGAAAGAAGAGAGCAATTGTTTGGGAGATTCTGAATGGAGAAGTTTGAGGATTGCCCACTGAATAAGAAAAATGGTTTCCATGGGAAGGGAAGGGGGCTCAGGTAAGGTCAGAGGGAGGCAGCCTGACTTACCTGGGAGGCAGGGAAGGGGTTAAATCCTGTTTTCCTTGCTGTATCTGGTTTCCAATAACCAGCCTGCCAGATGATTCATTGACAAGACGGGGATCATGTCAGCATTTGCAGTCACAGAACCACACAAACTGGTGGCTTAAGAGCACCTATGAGAGGGAGGAAGCAAATACCCAGACTACTCTACCCTATACCACCCGCACAACACACTGATTCACCACCAACTCCTCCTGAGGACAGCTGACCCCTCTCTGCCTGAGCTAAGCCAGATTTCCAGAAACTCCAAACAGGGGTGAGGGCAGAGAGTAGACATAGCTCCCGGATGCTTATAGCTGAGTTTGCCCTCATATAGCCTAAAGAAAATCAAAGGAAGGAGGAGGAAGTGGTGGAGGAAGGCAGGGAAGACAAGAGGTCCAAAAGAAGGAAGAGAGAGGTCAACAGACATGCTTGGGCAAAGCACAGCAGACAGGAAACCAAGACAACATACGGGGCTGGTCTTTGCCGCAGGCCACACTGTGCCTTCAGCCACATTGTGCGCCCCAGCCTCTCCTCCTCCAACCCCAAAATCCATCAAGAACCATCAGCCCCTCCTGGCCCTCATCCCACATCAGTACCCTCATCCACATGACTTTTGAATCTATCAGCACCTGAGATAAGGGAAAGGAAAGCAAGCTTGGCAGCCCTGAACCAGAAGCAGACGCACGCACACGTACCCTTCCCTGAATGAAAGGCCCCTCAGAGACGGCTCACACTCTCCAGGTTCCGGCTCCCTGATAGAAGTGCTCCTCTCCCACAGGGGAGGGCGGACACGGCCGATAAGAATTGCTTAGCACAATGCTATATATAGTCTAGGTTCCTACCGGCCTAGAGATTTGGAGCTAGAACTTGGCAGAGAACCATGCTAGATGCTGGCAAGGACCAGCCTCCCCCAGCCAGTCAACTGAGAGCCTCTCCTCCCTGCTGGGGGCAGTAAGGGCAAGCAGGGTCCTTCCACTCAGCCCATTAACACTCTGCACTGAGGGACACAGGCTTTTGGCTCCGTTTTAGGGAAAATCGACTTGTGAATGTGAGGGGCATGTGTTCAGAATGAACGCTGAGTTCTAACCTCTCTGCAGCCAGCCAGCAGCACCAGAAAATGGATCTATTCCTCTCTTCTGGAGGACCGAGGGTGGGGGTGTGCATGAAAAAAAAACTGGAGAAGGCACAGCAGCTGGCTGGGTTCAATACACATCTATCCACTTCCAGTATTTGAAGGAATAAAAGAACGCAGACGAATACTTACTGCAGAGAATCAGGCTGCCAGGCATCCCCTTTTTTTGTTCCAAATAAATGCAAACAGGCTCTTCTATCCGACAGTATGACGGCTGTCTTATGCTTACCAGCACCATCTTCGGCTGAGCCCGAGTCTCCAGGAGGTTGTCACCTACTCATAGAGCTGAACTCCGCTGAGTTCTCTGTGGAGAAGAAGAAAAGAGAAGACAGGTGGGCTCGGCTCACAGGGCCAACCAAGCAATGAATTGTGTAGGTCCCAATCATGGTCCTATCTGGGGTTAATATGTGGCCCTGGGACTACGGCCCTCAGCTGCTGCTCACCATCCAATGACAGAAGCAAGACAACGCAGGGCCCATGGTCCTGGAGAAAGGCCAGTACCAAGGGGCATGGGGTCTCATCAAAGAGGGTCTGTCCATCACCTCTTTCAGAAAACAAACCTGAGGGACAACAGAGCTCTCTCAAGTACAGAATCTGGGCTCTCTTTATGCACAGCTTCTGGACAAAGAAACATGAGATGCAAAGGCTCCAACACCCACATACATACAATTTTTTTAGGTCAAGTTGCTCTCTACTCAGGCTCAAAAAGACATGATGTTAAGGGCTGGAGCTGCCTTTGCACTCTGGGTGGGGATGGTTGGCTCCCAACCCTTGCCCTGCCTAACTCTCTGCCGTGACCTGGGCCAGGTCTCCCTGCTCCCTTAGGCTCCCAAGCCCCCAAAGCCAATCCTTCCAGAGATCCCCAATGAGTCACCGCAGGAGGTCCTTGGGGAGTGGAGGAGGTACTCACTGACAAATGTCAGTGCTAGCACCATCTACAGGCAAGTGTGAGACTGAAAAATGGTACATGGAGAAAAGAGGCAGGGAGCTCCTGGGCCAGGCTGTCCCTCATTTCCCACCACAAGTTGCTTGCTTCTCTGCCCCCAGACACTGGCCGAGGGAGGGAGAGGAGAGAAAGGGAAGCCAGATGCTGGGGATGAGGGTTTGGCCATGATTCAGTGGTAATGGAAGCCCATCTTCTCTCTTGCTCCCAAGAAGGCATGGCGGACAGGGCAGGGCCCGGCGGGCGGGGCAGGGGGGGATGTCACGCGCATGTAGCGCAATGCTGCAGATTCAAGAAAAGCCTAGAACCCTGAGCCGCCATGATGACACACACAAAATGGTCAAGAACTCAAGGACCACTATTTCACCTAAGAAGGAAGCAAGGAAGATGAAGGAGAGAAGATAAGCTTTGATTTGGGACAATGAGGAAAGGCGAGGCTGAAGCAGGCTGCCCAAGAGCTGGCCTTCAGCTTAAGGCCGGTGATGCGGATCTACCATCTTCACGTAACGCCAGCAGAGGAAACCTAAAACGCCATATCCCCATGACGGGCACTTGCTCCTGCGGTCCTGGAGCACCAGCGTTCACTAAGAACTGCCAGGCCCACCCCCACCCCAAGAAGAGACTCGCCCTCTCTCCAAGGCAATGAGCCACAGCAAGAAATCCCAAAGGGTTTTCTGGCCCTGGGAAGATGTCTCTCCTTCGGGACCAGTGAGAAGAGCTCAAGAAGTGACCCTATTTGCCAAGCTCATCCAATAACACAAACAGCTGCATTTTCTTTTCAGATTCTAAAATTCAAGTGTCCACAGAGCCCTGCTGAGTTACCTGGTGTCGCCCCCACCCTGATGTCCAGCAGTGGCCTTCTTCTATGCCAAGCTCTTCCTGAGAATGACCCCAAGCCTAAGGGTCAGCTCCGAGCCCCGACAAGCTGTTCTTGCTGCTTTCATGTTGACAGAACGTCCTGGCCACCCGGCTGAGCGCTCCATCGCCCGGCTCCCGACACACTGAGTCATCATCCAAAGAGGAAAGAAACAACAAAGCAGCCGTCACCAGGGTCCCCGCTGCCGTCGGCTGACGACTCATGGGCTGTCGTCACTCTCCGCTCTGCAGCCCCGGACTTGGTGATGAGGGGCTTCAGGGTGCCCAACGCCCCTCCCACGGGATGCAACAGCGTCAGGAAGGAGGCAGCCACCGCTGTGATTCGGAAGGGAGGGAAACTAACCTGGCATCGAAAGGCTCCCAGGAAGGCTCACTGGTTAACCCTCACTCTGCCACCACCAGTTCTCACGGCTCCATTCCCACGGCGTCGTCCTGACGCAGAAGTTAAAGCGGTATTTACTCCAGGTGGGGAAAGGCATCACCTCAAAGGCTTCACGTGCGTACTGCCCGGTTACCTCCTCCCCTGCCCCTGCGTACGCTATCACCAAAGGCAAGCAAGGTCCCTTCTCCCTCATTTCTTCTTGAGCCACCTGCTGTGTTCCTGTCTTAAGTTCCTGATAAACAACTGGACAGGAGGAAGGGAGCTGCAACACTTTCTATTGGGAACCTATCTGCTTGGTAATATATTAGGCATTTCTGAGTAGTAGGTTATGGTGGCTCCATCTCACTGACTGAGGACACTAAGACTTAGCAAAATCAAACGCCTTGTCTAATAAGACCAGCCAGCTAAGGACGAGGCAGGGTCAAGATGCAAACCCAGGTCTGTCCAAGTGCAATGTCTCTGCTCCCTGCCTTCTACTGTCTTCAATGACTCTGGGTTCTAGAGCTTATTCTGCTCTGACAATGCTACAACCCACCCCACCTCCACTCCCTCTTCTACGAGGAAGGTGACCAGGATAACTGAAGTTTGTTAATCCATCAATTACAGCTACAAAAAAAAGCCATCACCTTGAGTGAATCTGGCCACAAAGGAAGAGGAGAAAGGCAACGAGGGAGCAGTGAGGGTGGCATAGAACAGCTAATTGACCCAGACCTTGGGCTCAAGATCGGTCACTCAGACTCCCACACAGCATCAGGGACTCACAAAATTCCTTAAATAGACACGTTTTGGGGATCTACCTTGTAAGAGGCATTTTGCAGACAGTGAGGATTGAGAAAGGAAAAACACAAAGGCTTTAGGAACCCGGGGTTCTAATCATGATCGGAACACTTACCAGCCATGGGACTCTCCTCGCAGGGTGTGGTAAGGAGTAAGTGAAATAACCGCAGTGAGAGACCCTGCCATGGTACCTGCAAATAGGAGGCACCAAACAGGTATGTTTCCCTTCTTCCTGCCCTCGCCTCTCAGAGCTCACAATCTAATAGTTGACATAAGACTCATACACAAAGAACCGTAACACAACTCAAGCAGCATAAAAGAGGGATGAAGCGTATGGGAGTCCGGCCGAAGGTGGCAGGGGTGGTTACAAGGATTGCTTCTCGTGAAGGTAATCAGGAAAGTTGCCCGGAAGACAGCGGGACTGCCGCAGGTGGGTGCGGTGGAGAGGAGGCACAAAAAATATCTCCAGTGAAAACAGAGAGAAAGAAAAAGCAAGAAAAAGTCAGTCTCCTGGTTTTGTTTCCACGTAGGGAAACTCAAGAGAGGTAAGACTGTATAGGAGAACTAAGGCTTGTTACAGACAGCCTTCAGCATCACGCTAAAGGGAAGGGATTTTATTCTGGAAACGACGAGAAACCATTTTAAATTCCTGAGCCAGAAAGACAAGATGGCCGCTACACGCACAAGGGCCTGGAGAGGAGAGGGACAGGCAGCAGGGAGCCTCACTGGAGGACTACAGCTGGAACCAAGGCAGAGGCAGGGGGCAAGAGGAGAAACAGAGAAGAAAAACAGTAAAAAGGTAGGGCTATCTGAACAAATCCTCAAAGCTGCCATGGACCCCACCCCCTGTCCCTCTGGGGAGACTGCTGGAGACAGAGCCTATTTGGGGAACACAAACCACAGGTCTGACACGTCTGAGATGAGCTGCCATGTCTCTGCCTCCCCTCTCCCCCAAAACTCAGCTTCTCCCCTGAACTGCTCTAAGCCTCAGGCTGATGAGGGCATGGGAGACCCAGAGCTTCAGGTAGCAATGCCCAGGCTCTGGCAAAGCCGGTGCCCCAGCTAGTGGAACCCCCACCCAGGGATGCGTCCGAGGGTGGGACTGGGCGGTCCTGCCCCTGGGGCCACCTCCACTGCGGCAGTCACCACCGCGCCCGCCTCTGCTGCGCTCCCCCCCCTCCTCCGTCATAGCCCCCACCCCCCGCCCACTCTGCGGAACTGGCACAGCAGGACCAGAAAAACCAACGCCACCATGTCGGAGACCAGCAGAAATGCCTCCAAAATGGCAGCCTTATGATGAAAGGAGTCCAAAAATATTATCAACCCACCCAGAGAAAGGGAAGCAGTGACAAGGAGGAGTGAACTGTCAAGCACCTCCCAACTGGGTCCCCCTCACCCTTCCTTACTCTCACGACTGTCACATCTTTCCCTTCAGAAACTTCCTCTCAAAAGTCACAAAGCAAAGAAGGGCATCCCCCCATCCCCCAGAGAGGTCCTGGGGGCCAAAGGTGACACAGGGCGTTCAGAAGGACATTCTGCATTCCATACCCCAAAATCGGGGGCAGCAGTCCATTTCTGTCTTCAAACCTAGCTCCTATCACTAACTGGACAAGAGCTAGCCCTCCAAGGGAGTGAGGTCTTTCCTTGCTCCCCCATCAGACCCTCCTGGGCTCTGTAGGCCCTGGGGAGCCAGGAGGTAGGGTTGCAAGGAAGGGCCGAGAAGGCATAGACATGCCCTCCGTTATGTAATAAGAAGGGCGGTGCTGTCCTAGGCCAGAGACCCAGGGCGCATTGCGCTCCCAGATGCGCAGTCATGGGCGGGGGCCAATGCGCAATGGTGCAGGGCTCAGAAACCCCCTCCCCACAAACCTGAGACCTGCAACAGGACTGGATGGGGAGCCAGGACCCTGATTTTTCCAAGTCTCCCTCCCCCAACCAGAGGCGAACAGCCTGCTGCCCTAGTTTTGCTCTCACTCTCCTCACTCCCCACAACGACAAACCTTACATGCTAACCTGGGACCTCCAAACCTCTCATGGCCCTGTGGCTTCCCGGAAATCCCACCAAATACGCAGTTTCTGAGCAACATCCTGGGGTCGGTCCCCATCCTCACCTTTCCAAGCACCAGGGAGCAGCAGCTTCCAGAAGGCAGGTCCTTTCCATACTGGGCTCAGCTCTGGACAGCCCCGGACGTCAATGCAAATCTCTTGTCCCCGGGGAGTAACCCAGAGTCAGCAGGAAGCCCAGGGTGGTGGCAATATCAGCAGCAGCAGCTCTGCCCTACCTTGCCCATGCGTTTCCAGGGGAGCCAAGAATTATTTTGCCGCAACACTGAGGTGTGGCTGATTGGAAAATTCCCTTTTCCGACACCAAACTAAAGAACAAATATTCTCTTCCAGTTTGGTCAACCCTCTGCACACCCATCTGCCCAACCCCTGCTCCTCCAAAAAAAGTTTGGGAAGCCTTCAGCTCCTCTTCCCTATAGTGCATGAGATAAAAAAAGACATAGGAAGAGGCTTCAACTGGTCAGTCAAAAACAGGTACAGACACAGGAGCATACGCACACCCCTAAACAGATTTTAGAAAGCTGCTAGGCTTCTCCCCCCCTCCCCTTTAAGCAAGTGAAATGCAAATTCAGATTTGATACCCTGCCCTCAGCCAATCAAAAAAAGGTTTTCACCTGCCATTGGCCCACCCACCAATCAGAGGAGGTGTCTGGAGTGAGAGCCCTCCCCTGGCCAATGGAAGGCCAGCTCAGTCACTTAGTTAATGATGCAGCAGTACAAGGAAGGCCATCACATGTGAACTGGAAGGGTGCCAACATGGAGACACAGAGAGCGCAAGGTAAACAACTTTCCAACGCCAAAAGGATGACATTTAATCTCTAAATGCTAGCTTCCCTTCTCAGCTCATCCTTAACCCCTCTCAGCTGGCCCTACAGACCCCGTGAGCCTCACTACCTGTCCCCCTAGAGCTCCTAACAAGATCCAACAGTGACTGCGTCACCATTCCCCACTTTTCCCAACTACGCAGTGACAAACCTACCAGCTTTACCCCACTTCTCCCAGCCCACGCCCCATCCTGCCCACCTGCTCTCCACCAGCCCAACACTTCAATAAGGCACCCCCTGGAAAATCGTCCTTCTTGCCTTCCTCTCAGCACTTCTCCTCCTCACTCCCTACCTTCCACCTAAGAACTGCATGGACGGACAGACAGACGCTGATACCCAAACAACCCGGAATACCAGTCTGTCTGTCTGTCCAACAGAAGAAAATGGGGGTAAAGGCTGGTAGGTCAGGTGGGACGCCGGGGACAGCTTGCTCCTCTCTCCTCTACCCTGGTCAGGCTTGAGCAGCTGACACTAGGGAAAAGAAATTAAAGTGGAAAAAAAACCCTCTCTCAGAGAAAAAATAGCAAAAAACAAGAAAGAAGGTGAGAAAGACAGAGCACCCACATACGCAGAGACATCGCCCCTGATCCCAGCAAATACGTACGTGGGTGAAGAAGGGGGTTACGCCATCAAGTCCTGAAGCCCGTCGGACCACCCATCGTCGCCTGCACAGACCCCAATTTCGGTCCGGCTGTAAGGTGCCGCAGTCCCGAATGTTCCAGAAATTGGTCCCGTTAAACCTTCCACCATCGCCCCGCAACCTCCTTCTCCCACCCCTGCCCCCCACCACCACCCCACCTCCTCCCCGCGGGAACCGCCCGTGCCACCTTGCGTGTCATCTCCTTAGCCTAGGCTACCCAGAGGCCTCCAGCCCCCGACAGATTTCTGAACGCTTGGCAAGTGAGCTGGCAGAACCTGGTGCCCGGTGTTGCTATGACTTGTTTCTTGATTTCTCTCTCTCTCTCTCTGCTGCAGCACGGCTGTTGCTAGCAGACCTATCCACGGAGCGCTCTCTCTCTCCTCTCTCTCTCTCTCTGAGCTCTGTGACGCAGATCTAAATTCTCCAGTCTGCTCCTTGTGTTGCAAGAGCAGAACTGCAGCTTTTCCCCTGGAGAGCCGGAGGGCAGTGCCAAGGCTGGTCAAACAAGGCAAAAAAAAGTTGGGCCTACACTCCGCTTCCCTGGCCACACTTTTCAGCCCATTTTTTACCCTACACCTCACGCTCTGGGGCATAGAGGGCCTGGTCCCTGCAGGCCTACGCCTTCCCTAAGGGCTTCCCAGCCACAAGACTAGCTTAACTCTTTGAGTGACAGCGCCCAGAACCCAGACAGGGCTGTCCCACACTAAATGTTGCGTCATCTTTTCTTGAGCCATATGAGCTTCTCCCAGACGTGAGAAAAAAATGGTCCTCACCCTGAGACCACCATCGTATTAACTCTTTCTGCCACAGTTAAGTCCAGAACTACAGTCGTAGCTGATTTTTGTTGTTTTTTGCTTTTTGGGCCACAGACCAGGACCTTTTTCTCCTTAGAATTTCCTATGGACAAAAAGCATAATTAAAACATTGCCTGCTTAGGCCATGAGTGAGATCCTTCTATTGGGGAGGAAATGGAGAAACCAACCTGAGCTGCAGCCTGAAGAAACTAGAGAAAAGCAGTCTGGATCTCCATTCTTCCTGGGCTCAGAATTTTAGGGCCTAGGTGGATACGTCCAATCACTTCTCAAAAGGCGCTTAGGCCACTCAGTCCCAGAGACTCAGGTTGCTGAGTCATTTGTTCCCAAGAAGATCCTCTGACAACATGAAAAGCAGCAAAACAGAGCAGCAGCCAAGCCTGGACCTGGAGTGGCCAACAACTGGGTTCTTTTCTCTGGGGTGTGCAGCCAAGTGAGATGAGCACCCACCAGCCCACCCCCACTGCCCCTGTGATGGTAATGCATGGGGGTATTCACACACCTGGAAACTCTCACAGGGAGGGGGGTTTCCCACCAATGCTCTGGAGACTGACTGGGGTTGTTTCTGGATACTGACAGGTCTCCACTGCAGCAATGCACATAGCTCCCAACGTTTTCCTGCCCCCAGACCCAGAAATGTTTCTAGAACAGCTCAGATGGTAACTCATGAGACCCTGTATGCCCTAGGCAGACCCAGGGAGTCTTGGATCCCCACTCTGCTACATCCAACAAACACAGACTCACAAAAGTTTCTCACAACCAGTTGCACCATATGAGCCTAGACCTGACCAGAAGTGAGAGATATATACAGGTCCTGGAGCAGCTGACTCATAAAGTCTACCACATGGAGAACCTCGCAACTTCCAGAAAGATGGCTTGAGAATGCGAGGCCAGGCAGCCACCTTATCCTGTACCCCGCTTCCCAAGCAGCCTTCTTTAAGTAACTACTCTGGGCCAAGGCTTTGCCCAGCAGAAAGAAGACCACTTGGAAGACAACCATGGCACTCCATGGTTTTAAAAGAAGCCCAGAGCATCTGTGCCAGGCTCCCAGCAGGGGGGAAAGTGCTTCAAATTCACACCTTCTGGGCTCCAGGGTAGAGCATGCCAATAAAGAAGTCACCTACTGGTCTGATGACCAAAGGAATGTGGCCTTGATGGCACTAAAGCAAGTCCCCGGAATGGTCCTCTGCCTACTTAAATACCATTTGCCGTAGTTTCCTTTTCCATGGAAGAAAAACATGCCTAAGTTCATGTCAGGACATTCCTGATTTATCCAAGAGCCCAGGATCAAATAAACAAAGGGCTTTGAGCTCTGCCAGGGAGCCTCCTGCTTCAGGAGGGAGAACTAAAGGGAAGTAGGGCTCAGCACAGAGTTGGCCCATCACTCTGTGAACTTGCTAAATGACGTGGCTGCTCACTGCCATGGCGATGGAGATGTCACGGGTGGGTGGACGTGAGAGAGAAGAGGCAAATAAGTCATGAGAGACGGAGCAAGAGCAAGTTAGGGTCAGAGGCGGGCCATACACAGCCACAGAATTTACAGAGAGAGGCCGACCGCGGTCTACTACCACAGCACAACTAAGCTTGAGTCCATGCAAAGAAAGGTCCCCATCTCAGGGAGTCGGCAGAGACCAACTCTGACTAGTGAAGCATTATGACGACACTAGGTTTGGGAAGGTTTTGTTTCGTTTCACTTTTCATCTAAGTCTTTTCTTTTTCTTCGCACAACCCCCTTCCTCTTCTTACAATTTTACGAGGCTTGAAAGTCATTTTAGGTGCCTCTGCCCCATTCTAGGTCTTCCTTCTATTAACCTGATTCTGCATGGTGTCGAGAACAGAAAAACCCAAATGGGATGACCAGGAAGCAGAAATGAATTCAGTTCCAACAACATGGGAGGATGTTTACTTAGCAAGCATGCTCGAGCCTACAAGGAAGCAGTTTTACAGGGTGCCGCACGCGGTGTTTGATTTCAGGGGGTAAAGATAACTTCTGAGTGAGGAGAAGGTGCTGGCTCCTCCTGTCCACCCCGTGAGGCCTGCGGAGCCTGGGCCAGCGCAAACTTGAAAAGGCAGGGCTTCAACGCAAACCCAGCACAGTCACTGGCTCTCTTTGGCTTCTCCGCAGAGACAGGCCTCGGAAACTACACACACTCTCCAGACATCGCGAGCTCTCCACGGCCTCTGACTGATCTGGGTCAAAACTGTGAAATGCCAAAGACAAAGAATTTTTTTTTGTTTAAAGGGAATGAGCTGAACTTTCACCCAGCCCTTGTCCAGGGTTTGGAACGCAAGCACTCTGTAACTGCCACCACCTCCAGTTCGGCGGGCACCAGTCAGGAGAGCAGGCTTATTGACTGTAGGCCCCTCTGTCCTTCCATTTCCTCATTAGGGCCTCTGCTACAGGAACTGGATCTTTACTCAGGAAAGAAACTGTTTCTCTCAGGATAGGGGTGCTGTGCAGGGGACTGGTCCCAAACTCCACACAAGTATCTACGGCTACAGCAAGCGCTCTAGATAAATTAGGCAGTGATCCGGTCTCAGGCGGAACTGACAGGCCCAGGTCCACAGGGAGATGGTGTCTCTGTTTCCTGCCTGGGAGCGGGCAGACAACGGGCACTCGGTGACCCCACAATGGAAATCATTTATTAAGTACCACTAGGTGCTAAGCCAACATACAGCACAGAAGTATAAGACACAGGCCATCACCTCAAGACATACACGTTCTACCTGAAGACCCTAGAAGCATTTCCAAATTTGGATTTTTGATATTTCAAAACTCTGCTCTTTTCAAGCTGAAATTTATTTTCCCATTGAAATAATATTAAACATACTGGTTGGGTTCCCAGGCTAGCCCACAAATGCCTATTTTACCCACTTCAGGAAGTCACAAACTCAAACGCCTTCAGGGACCAGGCGGGCAGGTAATGAAGCAAAGGAGGCTGGGGAGGGAACGTGCCAAGTGGAAGGAACGTGCCACTCCTCACAGGCAACCCCTCCCCAGACCTGCCTGCTTGGGGCCATCTAGGAATGGAGACCCCAAGAGCCCAGACAGTCCAGATTTTCAGAAGAAGGTGGAAATCCAGATTAATTATGTTAAACTCTTGATTTTTAAACATTGTCAAAAACTTTTAATAGTCAAAACATACCTGCAGAGCTTCCAGGTTGTTTTCTTGTTAGTAATGTGTCCAAAATACGATATGTTTGCAAGGAAAAATTAGGAGTAAGCACTGCCAGAGTGAGGATTTAAATAAAATAAATGAAGAATATAACTGAAGAGAAAAGCTTTACCTGATAGATGCTGCTATTGGAGGAACAGACGGGCACAGAGGAAAATAAAGGAAAGCTAAACCTTCGGGCCAATGGTTGTCAAACCGGCTCTACGGTGAAGGCTGTGGGTGGAAGGGTGCATCAGAATTATTTTAAAATATACGTAATACCGTTCAAGTGCTAGTATTTGTGCTCCATCCTGACCCATAAGGAGGACAAAAGAATTATTCCAATACTGGCCCTCTCTCCCAGTTGAGAGTTGCTGCTTCTGGACATCCTCAAGGGGTCTGTTCAGGGCTTTGTTGATAAGACTGGAAGGGATTATAATAATCCAGCTGCCCAAGGTATAGGGCCCTTCATAGACAACACTATGACCAAGGCACTGTCCAGCCTCTACTGGACTCAGTAACTCCCGTCCCGCCTTTGGAAGACTCAGACAACTGGAACATAACTGAGATGAAATCCCTCTCTAGATAACTAACTACTAGTCTTCAGATCTTTGCTCTGCCTCTGGAGCCCACAGAACAAGCCTACTCTCCCAAAGGCTCTCAGATATTTTAGGATAACTTTTACCACCACAAGTTTTTAGGCTACATGAGGAGGTACAAAAAAGAGAAATGCAAAAGGAGGTGGGGGGGAGGGGAGGGGGAAAAAGAAGCCAGAGAGAAATATTCTTAAAATAGCTGATCAAAAGTTAACAAGCCAAAGGAAAAGAGGAAGAGACATATGTATCATGTATTCATGAGAAAGGAGGTACTTATGGCAGAAGAAGCAGCTGAGTGAAGCAGGACGTGCGAAAGGAAGGGCCCACAGTCCACACGCACAAGAAAATGCCAAGAAGAGCCACGGGTTAGACAGTTCCCAAGGCCAGCCACCAGGTTGTGCCAATGATCCAGGACAAACTGGTTAAAGCCTGGAATTGGGAGAAGAAAACCATACACAACTCACAATTATGAGACATTCTTTTGCCCATTTTGGGGGAAGGGGTTCTTTTTCTTATGGATTCGTTGGATTCTTTATATACTCTGGATACAAATCCACTTGCCAGGTGTAGGTCCTGCATATATCTTCTCCATTCCGCTTGCCTTTTCTCTCTTTTACTCATGTCTTTTGATGATCAGAAGTTTCCTCATTTTAATGTCATCCAACTTATCAATCTTTTCCTTTATAGTTAGTGCTTTCAGTGTCTCCTTTAAAAAATGTATGGCTACCTCAAGGTTATAAAGATATTCTATGTTATCTTGTAGATGAAATTTTATTTTGTCTTCACTTTCATATTTAGATGGATGATCTCTCTGGAATTTATTTTTGTGTACGATCTGAGGTAGTGGTCAAGATTCGTTTCTTTCCTTGTGGATATCCAGCTGACCTAGCACTGTCTATTAAAATGACCATCCATTCCCAACTGCTCGGGAGTACCCCCTTTGTCATAAATCAGGTGTCCAGATACGTATGGATCTGTTACTGGGCTCTCTGTTCCATTCCTTTGGTCAGAAATAAGATAGGCAAATAGGTCTATTATTGTAGTATGGAGCACTAATCTTAAATCAGGTGATTTTAACATGAGGATATGTCTACAAGTCAAGTTTAAGAAAATATAAATAGAAGAACCAATTTTGCAAAGTTCTCAGGCATAGTCTGAAAACTTGGCCCCAGCCTGGGCCTCTCAGAAAGAATAGGATGAGAAGGAATAGACAAAGAAATACATCCTAAGCTAAGGAAGCGGGTAGCAAGAAGAAAGGGACAGAGGTAAAAATGAGTCTTGATTTTTGTAGATAATAACATAGTGATCAAGAGAGCAGACTTATACTGTTTAGCGATAACCCCCATCCAAATCCTGACTGGATGCTTTTTAGCTGTGTGACCTTGGGCAAGTTAACTCAGCCTTTCTGAGCCTCAGTTTCCTAACTGCAAACTGAGGAAATCTTCCTCATTGAGCTGTACAGATTAAATGGATTAATTTGATGTGTATCACTCAGGATAAAGTCTAGTGATGTAAGTATTCAATGTCGGGTGCTATCCTCACTGTTAGTGATAACTGCTGGAGAAATCTTGCCATTCAACAGACATTTAGTGAGGACATACTACTGCAGAAAGATAATATATACAGTGGTTAAAAACTCACACTAAAATAAGACAGGTTTGAATCTAAATTCTAGTATAGTCCCTTTACTAGTTATACAGACTCGAACAACTTATTTGACTTTTCCAAGTTTCTAGCTTCAGCTTCACCATATTTTCTAGGAGTTTTCTTGGTGAGGATGTTATGAGATACAGAAGCATTAAGCATAACGCCCAACACGAAGTAAATGCTCAACTGATGCCAGCTATTACTATGATGATGACGATGATGACGGATAACGATGATTTTGTGCTTGGTACCATACCAGGCACTAGAAGAAAAGGCCTCCTAACACCTTGAAAAACCTAGAGTACCTGGCATTCTCAGTCTTCCACCCAAGTACTAACCAGGCGCAACCATGCCTAGCTTTAACCGACAAGACTAAGGAGACAAGATCAAGTGTGTTCAGGCGGTAGGTCCAAGACAGAGGATGGGCTTGGAGGAAGAACATTAGAGATGCCAAGTAAAAGCCAAATTGCTGGGACTGTTAAATACCTGGTAAGGAAATTTCTAATCTTGGGAACTTTAAGAAGAAACAAAAACACAGAATCTGCAAATGTTTTCTAAACAGAAAAATCTGAAAACGTGCTGGTTCAGAGTGGGGGGTATCAGAAATGGTACTCATAGATTAGAAGTCTGATGATATTGATGGGGAGAAGGTTACTGAAGAAACACTGCCATTAATAGCTTTAATCAACAATAATGACCATAATGTGGTCCGTCTTAACAGTCTTAAAGACCGCACCTTCGTCAGTCTCCTGGAACAACTACCCCAGAACCACGGAGGAGTTTTTCCCATCAAATTCCCAACCCAAGGGACCATGGCACTTCCGCCCAGGTTGCTGAGCTGAAGTGA